CACTGCTTCTTCGTGTTTTACTGTGCAAACTTTTCCTGAAGGAGAAATCGTTTCTGCAATCGGTTCTGGTTCGAGGCAAGTCTCCCAAGCGGCTCGAGTCGCTTTCATGGAAAAAGTGTACCTGAAAGTTAGCAACGGAAAATTGACGACGAGTTACTTATTATTATTGTTTTTGTGTAAACTTTTACTGAAGTTGATTCGACAATCAATTGTAACTTTACAATGACAAATATTGATGCACGAGCATCTCGAGGAAATCGTCGATTTCTTCGTCGCAAGGCAGTTTCGCAAAACATTCCTCAGTTGCAGATCTGGGAGTACATGGAGGAGGAGGTTCCACGGGTTCTTTCTCAGAGGCAGGACATTCTTCTTCACAGGGGGGTTCTGTTTTGTAAATGCATCCAGAAAAGAATGCAGAAAGAAATATTATGACTTCTCATCCGAAATTTCTTACTGTTCAATCCTGGAGAATTACGGTATTGTCTGGTTTGGGGATAATACATTTTTAAAATTGTTTTTCACTTATTTTCAATATTTTACTAGAAGAGAAACTTTAAGGTTTACATTACGTATTGATAAGAACCAATTGTGTTGAAAATGGGACCATTCGAGTATACAAAGCCATTTTCTGCTTGAGCTTCGAAAATATATCGTCTGCATCATAAAATACAGAATATACTAAAGTTAACATTTTAAAAATTAAATTATAAATGGAGCAATAATGCGTTATATTATTTCAGATCATTAGCAATGCAATCTTGTGAAAATCGTTGAATTTCAGACGCAATAGTAGGTGAAACAATCATATCCAAAGCTCGGGGTTTCAATTAAAATACACCACTGTCATTATGCAAAAATCTACCTTCTTCCTCCTCAGAAGACGGTCCAGGAACTCGACACTTGTCAAGATCAGTAACTCTTCCACCTGGCTGTTCGGATTTGCAATGAAAGTTTTTAGCTGGTGGGCAACTTTTTGAAATGAGAGAAGCGTGAATTCTATTCGAAACGCAGCTACAATCGTCAGCATCGGCGTCAGGGTCGAACAGCCAAGC